TGTAGCAAAGGCACGGGCTCACGCAAGCGCAGTAGCTCGGGGTGGGTTTGCCTGCGCTTGCGCCTGGCAGCTGCGCGCTCAGCAGCGCCAGGGACGGGGCGGTGGTGCGCTGCACGCCAGCACCCTAACGAGGTCCCGGGGCAAGCCGCGTCGCCACCAAAGCGTCCACCAACCCCCCTGCGGAGCACGGCGAGTTTTGCGGCCCTTCGTTCCGGAGCTCCGGGTACGTCGCAGCTTTGCGCCGTTCTGCTGTCCGAAGGGCGGGGCCGTTGACGTCGGCCTTGTATGGGGCTGTGGTTGCCCGGTGCGTGTGAGCGGCGAAACCAGTGTGGCATCGCAGCACAGCGCTGTACCGTTGGCCGTGGCCGGGCCAAATCGAGACAGCGCCGATCATCAGTGCGCACCAGAATTCTTAAGGACCATGGTGTGCACTCGCCACTGCTGTGGCACTTCTGGCCCTTCGGCACCCACGGCTTCGCGTGCAAAGCGGACCCACACGTGCTCGAGCGTCGTAGCTGTAGCTCTGCGCGCGAGCATGCGCGGGCAAGCGAAGACGTGGTCACCGAACCGGTCAACTTGCTCGCCACAGCCGGGTGCCGGCCCGCATCTGCCGTGGCTGTGCAAGCACGGCGTAGCGCGAGCTGCGTCGCTTGCGGCGCGAGCATGCCGCCTCGAATGGTATGGCTCTAGACTTCCGCTAGTATAGTGGTCACTTTCATGTTGCGCCAGGGCGCGCAAGTCGCGCCACATCGCGCTACCGCATGGTCACGCGGGAACGAGTGAAATCACAACAGGGCGTTTGAAGTAGCACCACAACATAGCTGCGCATCGCTCTCCGTGTGGCCATGCGTTTCCCTGCACATTCCTGGTGCACACGTCCATGTAGGATGGCGAGTGCTATGTGCATGCCTTCCTTGGACGTTATGTACCGGAGCCGCGAAAAAAAATCTTCTGCCTTGGCAGCTAATCACCCCGCGCGCGCGCGCTCTCACTCATGTCACAAGCGCCTGCTCAAGACACACATCATGTCGCACGAGGACACTAGCCGTTCCCCATGTCGACGCCCGGCCTGGGGCGCGAGAGCCAGGCGGAAGGTCAATAAAATGCGTCTCAAGCGCGCGTTCGTCGCAAGCTCGGTATCGCGCTCCCCCACAGCCATGTCAGGCGGAAAAGCAACGTTGCCGAGGGCGGTGTCCCAAGCACGAGTGCGGAAAGCCTAGCTGACCAGGTTAGCTGCAGCCTGTGTCAGATCAGGATGCCCAGTACGCAGCGTGCCGGTCGAGCGTGGCTGCTCGCAGGCCGAGCCCGCCGCATTGCAGTGGCACACGGGCGCTTGCGGCTGTGAGCCGGCACTGACCGAGTTGGCAAAACAGCTCGCTTCTCGGACCCCAAAATTTGCTTCTTCCTGCGATCCCTCGCAAGAAATACTAAGCTGGGGGCGCAAACAAAAAGATAGGGCATTTTACTGAGCCAGTCCGTCCACACGCACACACGCACCGGCGGCAAGCCAGGGGGAGCTTCCTCCGCCAACGGCAGAATTAGCCGCTCCCCCTATCGCCGCATGATGACCCAGTCAGTGTCGGCTTGGCGTGTTGGGGTACTGCGTGAAGCTGAAGGCAGCACCCCGGACAAAACCCGGTGACTGTCAGGAATCCAGCAAATAAGCACCGACGTAAGCTCAGCCCGGATTATGTTGAGATGATTATTCACAGGCTGTTGAGCTTCAGCCCACCTTGGATCTTATGCCGCAGCTCACACGGCCGTATTGGCGACTCACCCGTGTTTAAAAAAAGGAGCAACCTCGACATCGTCCGTAGGGTCCTGCACCTGCCCGACTACAGGGTGCCGCTTGTGTTAAGGCTGCTTTGCTCAAATCAAATGTGCCCACCCAAAAATATCTGTTGGTGCGGAGGTGCACGTTGTCCTGTATGTGTTCTTCCGAGCTCCAGGCGTGCTGTGTGCTTGCGTCATAGGAGATGTTTCCTGGAGCCAATGATGTACCTACGGAGGAGCTCTGGGTCCAGAAGAATTCGGGGTTTGGGTGGCCGCCAAAGTGGGTCACACAAAGCAGCGAGCGTCTCATGGCTTGTGGGCGCGAGTGGCCCGGCCGTAAGTGCTTTGGCCGCGACGGGGAGCTCACCAGGTGGGCTAAAGCCGCAGCTCGTTCGGATCGACGGCGAACGTCGACGTCTTCGGCCTCTACCCCGTTTGCTGCGTTGTCCCTGGCAGGCCGGGCCACCTTCCGTGGCGCCGGTGTCGCTGCGGCTGTGCCGTGGCGAGGCAGTTCGGCCAGTGCCAGCAAGGAACGCTTGTCCGCGGCATCGCAACTCCTCCGCCGATACGCAGGATTGGTCGGGGGCACGGAACAGCAGCATGCGGGGTGCGAGCATGAAGAGTTTCCATCCGTCGCACTCGTCGTCGATCGTCGCAGCAGCGCAGCGTCTCCAAAGCCAGTCGGAAAACATGTCGCAGCAGTCCTCTGAGTTGGCGAGGGGGCATTTGGAGGGTGTATACCGTCTGGCTGAGGAGTTGCAGCTGCCAAGGGTGTGTGTGCGCGAAGTGTCGGCGATGAGACGGGGCGTGCTGCGGGCGCAAGCTTTGCGATGGTCGGTGGCCGCGGCGAAGCTCCCGAATCCTTCGAGCAGTGCCTGTTGCGCTGCGGCTGACAACTCAGCGGGCAACGCAGCGCGTTCGGCCGCGAGAATTTCGTCCCGTGGCGAAACTTGCTCCTGTGCCTCGCTGGCGTCGAGCGATTGCATGCACTCCGCGAGCGAGGGTGCATGGGTCTACAGGCCACGAGTCGCATATTACACGGACCACGTCTTGCCAACGTTGCGCTCCATGCCTGGTAAGCAGCGTCGGTGAAACGTCCGGCCCCGGCGTAGAAGGGGGATGTAAAGCCAAGATAGCCAAGAATGCCGTCCTCGTGATGGCGATGCGTCGGCGGGGTGACGCTCGGAACCAACGTCGGAACCCGAGTGCAACGGCCGCGGAGGGCGGCGTCGCCCGGTCTGTGAGGTCGGCGGGGGGGACATCGGCAGGCTCCCCGGTAAGGACGCAAACAGCGGCTGAGCGAGTCCGAAACTGTAACACTTTCCACGTCGCCTGCGCACATCCCACGCTGTCGACGCCGCAGGTCGCTGTTGGACGGCGGCCCAGGGTGCGCAGCCTCACCAGCTCGCCTGCACGGTAAGGGTGCGGCGTCCACACGCCGATGCCGCCCGAAACTGCCATGTGCCGAAAGTCCATGCAAGTTGACCAGTCTTTGAAAGGAGAAAACCAGTGTTGCATCGCAGCGCGTCGCTCCTCCGTCGGGCAGTGGCACGGTAGACGACGAGGTTGAAACGGGGGCGCGCGCGCGCGCGGGCGAGGCATGATATGACCTAAACAGACTTGCGGGCCACGCAAGCCCAGGCTCGCTCCACAACCGGAACTGAGCAGTGGCAGATGCAGGCGTCGCCTCAAAGCGACTTGCACTGAATGGTGGTGGCTGTCGCAATGTATGGACGTCCCGGGCGATCCGCGACGGGGGGTTAAAGAAGAAAGCAAAAAGCAAAACACTGTGCCGCAGCGAGCGAAACGCAGGCAGCGGCACATTCTCGGCATTGAAGTGCGCTGCATGTCGTCTTCGAATACCACCGTGCAACTACTTGCTTGAATGGGTTTTCAATGTTCCCGTCACAAGATGTTGGCACCTGCGTTGCTTGGTTTGACGCTTTGCAAGGCCAGCATGCAGCACCACCACGACATGGATATGTTGAGAAGTCAACGCTAGCCATTTCATACATACATATACATATATATATATATATATACGTGTACATATGCACACATCTTTATGTATCTGTTCATGTATGTGCTTGTGCACGCATGCATGCACACACGTATGGATGGATGTATTTAAGTTATATCGCATCATGCATGTAATGCATGTAAGCAGCATTTGGATGATACAAGCACGCAGCTGCTGTCAAATCATGTCCTGGACGGCTGAACACTTCGAAAAAAAAAAAGCAAGAATGTTGAACGCCATGCCGAATTCACTGGCCATGCACCACTGAGCCCGAACAGCCGGAATATGTCGAACATGTTGCTGCAAGCTGCCACAATCTGCCACGATCCCCACATGCAGCAGCCATGCACGAGCCTCCCATTTGTGGCATTCACAGCTGCTTGAGTCTAGATGTTCAGCGGTAGCTTATCGCAGTGTCGATGCGGATGGTCCAAGCTACTAGCTGGAGGCTGCGGCATGGTGGAGGCTGTATATGCCGATTTCCGTGTCTGAATGCTTGTAAATAGCATCCCAAGGGTGCGGCATGTCCGTTGCACTCGACATGGCTATGGGAGCCTCAATAGAAATGCGACATGCTGCCCTTTGCCCCTGAATGGTGGCTCACCACCCATACTGAATCACAAGCGCCAATGCTTCCACGTTCGGACATGGTGATATTTGTCTTTCTTCTAAGAGCGGTCTATCACTCGTCCAGGAAGACTTAAGACGAGGTCATGTAAGATTAAAAACAACCAATGCTTCCGGTCTGCTTCGCGAGCGGAAGGCTGGTCACGGTAATCAATGCTTCCGACCCTTGCGAAAGCGGAAAAGCTGGCCATGGTAATGGACCCAGCCAACCTTGCCTCATGAGGAGCAGGAAATGCGAGACGCTTCAGCATTGGACTCCTCCCGGACGGGCAAGTCAAAGGACTTGCCTTTGGGCGCAAACAAACCTGAGCTGAAGCTTGTGGAGCCATATGAGACTTTCCGAAAATAGGGGAACCTAATCTAGCGCCTCAATTTGTAGGATGTGTATTATAAGGCTAGAATAAGGTACCCGCAATTTTCGGAAACTCCCATATCACAGATGCGGCGCAGCACCTGGAGCCTCCTCTCGGTGCACCGGGACAAGCATGGGGCGACGAGATGCCATGCGCTCTGTTAGGAATTCCACATCTATTTACGGTTGAAAATGCAATCTTCCAATAATAAGTTGGGCCTCGAAATACTAATTTATTAGGTTCTTGGTGCACGTACAGGACGTGCATGATTCTATCTGCGTCTCAATTGGCAATGCAAGACTTTCATTTGCATCCAGGACGCTTACCGCCAGCAAGGCCACAAGAAACAACCTCGGCCATACAAAGTAGAAACAGCGTCTCACTGCTACACAAGTGGCAAACCTCAGGATATTCTAACTTCAAACCTCTTCTGCCAAGGCACGTACCCAAGAGGATCCACGCTAGTCTAGGGTGGCCACTCTGGAGGAGCTGTCCGAGGATCAGAGTTTGACCTGCCAGTTACCACAGAATAAACTGCTTTTGTGTGCACTGCTCCTGCTTCAGTCAGGTGATGGAGTGACCCCAAAACCTCGTCACATTACTGCCAGGCTTTGGTGATGTAAATGACACGGACGAGGACGACGACGATGCAAAGAAGAATATTGCGGGGAAGATAGGCGTGATGACGGGCCAAGTGTGGAACATCCTGCCTATGCCCAGGAGTTGGCCCCCGGACATGCAGAGGCCGGCCAGCGTGCCCTCACCCGCTTGGCTTACCATGACGGCCGCCTCGAAGGAGATGGGCATCAAAGGGATCGCAGAAAAGCCAAGGCCTCCGAAGGCCAAGGCCAAGAGCTCCAACCCCCATGGCCCATCGCCCACATAGATCACCGTCAACGCGGCCAGGAGCGCGAAGAGCACGCACAGCACACAGCATGTGGTGAGGACGGCTTTGTGCGCCCCTGTCAAGCCGACAACGATGGACATGAGAAGAGCCCCAAGGACTCCACAGAACGTGGTAACGACGCCGAAGATGGAGGCATCATCGGCACTGTACCCAAAAGGGCCCACGAGCTGTGCGGCGAGAGTGCTCGAGGTGTTGAAAGACCCCATGCTGCAGCTGAAGGACAGGATCAGGCACCACCTGGGAGAATCTACAGAGCCAGCAGCTGGCCTTGCTGGTGGCACAGACTCCTAGTCTCATGATGTTTGATTAGCTACTCATGTCACTGTCGCTGTTTCTCCGGGCTGCAAGTTGCCGTTGGACAGCGCCGCTGCAAGTTCTTGGCCGAAGGACTTGCCCTGACCCAAAGCAACCCAGGGATGAGACTGTCAGCTAGGAGCCCTGAAGCCTCTCAGCCCCTTGTGACTTGTCTCGAACATCTTCCTAGGATCTGATCTCCTAAGCCCTGCACGATAGCGAGGGAGCACAGTCACATATAGTGACCCATGACAAATTTTTTCCTCGCTTTGCCTCGTGGTGCTTCCTGGTTGGGCTCGGGGGCGTTGCCGGCGCCGCTCGAAAGAAAAGGAACGCGAGGCTAAGGAACCTCGGAGACTCGCTTCCAAAAAACGACCGACACAAGTTCGCTTCGTCCAGACAGGGAACAAGGCCGACCATGCCAGGTGGAAGTAGAGCATCGAACGAAGGCCCAGTGCCACTGGCAGTACGAATCCCACGGCTGCTCCAACAGGCATTGCCAGCCTCCACAACCCAAACAACACTTCAGGCCAAGCCTTCAGGTTCAGGTGCATTCAGCAACGCTTGGCAGCAAGCGTTTACCTGACATGCTGCCAAGCGTCGAAGCTAGGGTATCTGCCAGCACGCGCTGGTAGGCGGGAAACCAATCTGCCGCGATCCTGGCACGAGGGGCTGCTCACAAGCTTCGCTCAGCGCACAAGATAGGACTTTCCTTCTGCATGCAGCATGGTTTTTGTTCAATGTCAGTCAGAGTGACTTTGGTGGCATGTCGGTGAAGAAAGGCTGTCCAACAGCAGCCAGCGCTTGGCCAGACATCACCTCGGTTTTCAAATTCTTTCAGGCTAAGCGGTTAAGCTCGGCAGTTTGGGATGTCGAGGCTTTTCACGCGCTCGGTGGAAACTACGTCCCGGTGCTAATAGGAGCCTGGTCATCAGCAGCACGGTCAGCTCTGTACAGTCTGTGCGAAGCTCCGATTCTACGCAGCCTGTTTCATCAAACCCAGCACCTGCACGATGCCTGCCGAAAAAACTGTCCGTGCTTGTCGCTGAGCTGCCGAACATTGCTGCTACTCCAGCAGGAAAGAGATGGATAATCCTTGCGAAGTCTGTCCAAGGCGCCAGATACCGAGCAGTGACAGGGTCTGCTGGCAGGCACCTGCAAGGCCCCGTGGCGATCTGACCGGCATCACTTGCTTCACTTCACATGCTTCCAAGCCTCAGGATAGCTCCGAAAGTCTGAAGGCAGCCACCCACCAGCAGGGCCCATCGGCAACCCCAAACATCCATGGCATAGGAGGCTGGGAAGTTGGCCGGCAAGTACACCTCAGCGCAGCCACGAGGCAAAGCCAGGCCTCTGAGGCCTGAAGTCTCTGCGATCGCGACAAGGGACAATCATGAAGATCAAGGACAGGAAGTTCACAAACGTTGCAGATACTCCATACTCAGTCATGACATCGGACTCAATTGGAGCAAAGCCAATCCAAATGGCCTGACAAACGAGTGCCAGCTTAGTTACTTGTTGACTTACCTTTGAGCAAAGCAAACTCTCACCTCGCCTGGTTGGACATACACCCGAACATGTAGAGCAGCAGCATCCGCCAGCGTGCCGGATCAGCTCTCCATGCTGGCAACACAGCCTGCAGAGGTGTCTGCTTGTCACGTGCCTTATTAGATGCCCTAAACTGGCCCTAAACCCCTTCCCTAGAGCCTCCTCTGCAGGGCCGGCAGAAACGGCCTCGTCCTCTCCAACCTGGCCACATCACAGCACGCTCCTTCGGGGACTTACTTGCGGCTGGTTGAACTGCAAAATAACGGTAGGGTCTGGCAAGAAAACCGCCTCGGAACAGAACACTCGGCCAATGTCCGACTGCCTAACTCACTATTCTCAACATGCCCACGGCACGAGCAGTTCAAGAGCTGCAGGCAACACGCGGATGCGAAGAAAGCCGTCATGTTCCAGAACCTCTTGCTTGTGCTTGCTTAGCTTTGAGGTACCACAGCAAGGCCAGTACAGCAGGTCAGAGAACGAAAGAGAAGAGATGATTTCTACCTCATCCCTCTCTCATTCACTAGAGCGCCATTGCCTCGCCGTCCACATTGAAAATGCCAGGCCCGTCAAATGTGATTTCCACACCGGTGACCTGCTTGGAGTCCCAGACATCCTGATCGAAGCACGCATTGAGGATGTGGAGGCAACACCGATACTCTTCAGTCACTGTCAAAGGAGCGAAGAAGCGTTCGACAAGACACGGTAAGTCCGAGCTCGGGAAAAAGGACAACATCGTCCAAGGCTCAACGCTGCGAATGAACCCGCCACGACTAAAATGCCGTGACGCTCTCCCTGGCAACACATGAAGACAAAGTGAATCCTCCTGCTGACTCCTCCTGGTTCCTGTTAGTTAAACCCCAAAACCAGACACAACACTACATTATACTTCCTCTTTTTCACTGAGACAATGTACGAGCTCTATCTGTCGGTCTTTTGTCTCGTTCTCCCCCCCCCCCAACCGCTTTGTCGTCCACCTCATTCCGAAAGGTGAGCTAGGCTCTCTCTCCCTCCTGTGGTCCCCGCCCACTAGCAATCACTAGCAGAGATCCTTTGGGCTTCAACTCCTTCGCGTTTGGGCCTGAGGGCTTTGGCCTCGCAGTTTCGGCTTTAAGGCTTCGACTTTAGGGCTTCGGCTTTAGGGATTTCGGCTTTAGGATTTTGGCCTTGGGATTTCGGTCATTGGGACCCGGCTTTTTTCGACTCCGTCGGGTTTCGGACTTAGAGTTTCGGCTTTGGGGCCGCAAAGCGAAAGCCGGATCCCTACGGCCGAAACCCCGATGCCGAAACCCCCGAAACCATCAGGCGAGTAAGGCCCCCTGGACACTAAGGCCCGCCCGCCTTTTACGGGCTCTTAGAGGGGTGTGAAACACAGCAGCTCTCTTTCTTCCGCATCCTTTTTCGTTTCCTCTTCGTCAGGGTTTGGGGGACGCCTAAAGCTCCCCGGCAAGTATGGCCCCGCTTTGGTTGGAGGGTTTGTATTGTCAACCTCATATTTACAATCACCCGCGTAATTGCAAAATCCAATTCCCAGAACGTAATGAGAAATCCCCCGTATTTGCAGAATCCAGGCGGCATGAGCGGAAAAAATGTCAGCAGATTCTTGCTTGTTTAGAAGAAGGCTCCAAGGAACTGAAAAGGGTAACTGGGGCTCTCCGGGGCTGCAAGCAGGGCTGTCACACGCCTGGCTTCTGGACTCTTACCAAGCTTCTGAAGCTAATGGTAACTTCCAAAAGACTTCTGGGGCCTTCGGACAAGCTGGAGGCTGCGTGGCCTCTGAAAGCGCTTGTGCGGTCACCCTCGGCTCAACCCTTGGTTGTGTAGCACATTTCTCACAGCAGAAAGGCCAACGTGTCGTCGTCCACGGATTCAAAAGGCACACCCCAACTTTCACAAAGCTTCTTCAAGTGATAGTGCGTAGCCTTCAGCCCGTTGCATGACAAGCATCCCTGTTCTTCGTCGCGTGAGCCGTTTTCGTCAAAGCACCTAGCTGCTCATCAGTGACGACTGCTTGCGAGTCCACGGCCTGTTCGCGAGCAACAGATTCCATGATGGACTTCATGGCCGGGGATATTGGTCTTCCAGCTTTCGGCGACGGAGTGGAGAGCGCCAGACTGTCGGCAAGTTCATGGGCGTGTTAGGGTGGGCAAGCGCGCTCCCCATCCCCTGCGCTGGCGCCTCAGGCCGCTACGCTGGTACAGGGAGAAACAAGGTCCCCGACAAAACTTCAATTACTCTCTCTGTTTCTTTCTCTTTCTTTCTTTCTGCAGGGCTTAGGGGTCGTCTGCGCGACCCTCAGGCCATTGGCCAGCCCAGCCCCTCCCTCTCTTCTTCTCTGTGACGGACTCGCGCACCAGTCGATTTCGCTGCTCGCATGCTGATCGTTCATGGTGCTGCCTGTACTTGTTCTTTCTCTGTGTTTATCTCCATTCCAATCTTTCTCTGGTTCCGCGGCTATGCTAGGCCCTCCCTCCCTCCCTCTCCTTGTCTCCGGTGTGCGCACCGTTCGGCAGCTGCAGGAATCCTGCAACAGTCTGGTCCACTGTGGCCCCCGATGAGAGCACCTGAGCTGTGAACGGAAGCGGTTGAAAAGCTCGCAAAGAACAAACGCGGTTTCCGCAGTAGCCCAAAGCTCAAGACCAGCCACAGAAAATTCCGCCAGGCCGTCGTCAAGTTGTGCCTGTCTGATACTTTCAAGCCATCCCCAGACCCACTGATGTCTCTCTACTTGCACGCCACTTCTGCAGAAGAATCCTCCGCACACCCACCAACCCAACTACAAGTATGAATGGGGGCAGGGACAGCTGCCTCAACTCTTTCTTCCTCGACAACAAAGGAAACCAAGGTTGGACCAACCCGCCTGTGGAACAGACCGCAGCTTGTCTGAGAAGTGCTGGGTCAAGCCCACGCTAGCTCCCATCGTGGACAAGCTGTCCTCGTGCACTGTTCCGTCCGCCAAGGTAACTTTGCACCTCGCAAGACTGCAACTAAGATGGCTGTAGACCCTTGAAAACCTTACTTACAATCCTCAACAAGCGCTCCCAAGCCTGAGGTTCTGTGCCTGCTGCTTCAGAATCATGAGAACAGACGCGATGTCAAAGCGGGCTGGCCCGAGCCATCGCAACGGCTCAGCCACGACATCCACCTCAGCGAAGAACCCGAAGAAGACCATCATCACGGCCAAAATCCGACGGTTCATGACTTCCACCTCTAGAAGGTCGACACTAGCGACGCGGCCACCAGATATCCTATCGAGAGACCAATCCAGAATCGCATCCATCTCTGCCCAGACCGACACCTCCTCACCCTGTCGCCGTAGATTCTGGCGCAAGGTCGCCGACAAGCCATTCCCCGTCCCTAGTGGGATGATGCTCACTGGGATTTGCTGGCCGTCTTCTCGTGAAAAGATTCCGTTCACAAGCTCGTGGAAAGTTCCATCACCCCCAAGTGTCACAGCAGCCTGAAAATCCACCAGTGGAAGCGTCATTCCCAGGTGACGAGCGTGTCCCACGCTCTCAGTGGCGATTGCTGTGCACTCAATTCCACGCCTTCGCAATCCTGGCAGCACCTTATCCTCCAGAATGCTCTGTGCCTGTCGCTTCCCGGCGTTGGGATTGTACACAAGCAGCAGTTTCTTGATTTCAAGCGTGGGACCAGGTGTCTTGCACAGTGGGGGTACCAGGGGGGCTGGCTCAGGCAGATTGAAGATCCCCTCGCAACAAGTGTGACGCAAAGAGCAGCAGCAGAGGCAGCAAGAAATCGCCAATAGCACCAATCCAACTGCCATCACTGGCTCCTTGTACGTCGACGTGTCCAGCTCACTGCCCCAAACCAAGCAAATCGCCGGTAGCAGGACCTCGAATCATGCGAGCAGAAATGCCTATTGGGTCAAGCAATGTTGCATCAGGATGCCATCGTCTACGATGCTTCTAGGTTGTTCTCTTCAGAAACAATCACCTGTGGCGGTGTTGTAGACAATGTACAATTCACCCAACCGTAGCTATTCCGTTGTTCCATTGACGCAACTATCTTGACCTTGACAAACACCAACAACTCAAATACCATCTTCGTGCCTTGCCGCTGCGAAGGTGCAACAGACACAACAAGCACGCAGCACGCCCGTTGCCCGGCTGCAACAACCCAAGATCCCCAGACGCTGGCACTCCGAATCCTCCAGGTGCTCAACCTTACTTGGCGTTTTTTAGCAGTACGCATCATCAGCCGTGGTGCAGTCCCTTGAACTTGCATCCGAAGGATTGCATCTGCCTTCCACATGCTGTCCCTGCTCGACAATCCCAGCTTACAATGCAGCAACAGTTTCACTTCATATTGCACTGCTTGTTGGGAACTTGAGCAAACTCCTGTGTTGATTTGATCGAACACCACAGAAACATCAGGGAACCACATGATTCAAAATCTCTTACAAGCGATCTATCCAATGTAGAACTACTTGTCAAAATATCCGCAGCCTGCAGCCAAGGTTCATTAACGATGATATCAGATATCTCGGTTCCCCACCAGCGCCTACACCCAATACGGGGCTCCAGCAGGGAATAAACAAGCCATGGAGCGTTGTTCACTGAACATGTGAACTTGCCACAAGCGAACAGCCTTACAAAAACATGCATCGTGGCTGTGCAACGATTGCAAGCCTCTGGCCCAACTCGATGCGAGGGTTTGGCAAGCCGGACGCATCAGCAAGCAATGCCATGGTGGAGCAACTTCAATAACTGACGAACACAACAGCTGCGAACGATCTAATACACTCCAACTTCTGACTAGTGGTCTAAGCAGAAAATCAATTTTATTTCAAACCAGTTTTGTTTGTTGTTGTTGTTGTGTGATGCTCGAAAGGTTTGGAAAATTGTTCTTGGATTCCGACAAGGAGTTGCCTCTGTTAACTTTTCGAAAGACAACTTCAAAACCAGCGAAGCTCCAGAGAAAAAGTCGAATGGGCAAGGTGGGGGCAAGGGTGGGGAAGGCGAAGAATGGTTCAAAAGCTGGTGAAACGAAAAGGCCCGGAAACTCGAAAGCTTCGAAACAGAGAACACGGCGAGCTTCGAAGGCTTTAACCAGAAAGCTTTGTTCTGGTCCCCAAGTAACCAAGTAATACACATGGAACCATTGCGAAAATTTCTAAAACCTTCTACAAAAAAAACTCAAATTCATGAATTTCCGTTGGCCTCCTTTTGAAGCCTTCAAAGCTATTTAACGGGGTTCATCCCACCTTCAAATCTTTCAACGACTGGCTAACTGCGAACGTTTCTTTCGATGCCGCGTTTGACCAAATGAAAATTCGTACGAACATGTTGCGACTTCGACTCCGACTTTCAAAGGTTGTGATTCGAACGAAGCCTCTCGAAGCGTCTGCCTAGAAATCAATGCCCAACGTTCCGGTTCCCGGCATTTCTGCGTTATTGCATTTTTTTGTTACATTTTATTGTACCCTGGAGCCACAATTGAACCCTCTTTCGCCGGAGAAACCGGAATTGGAAACAACACGGTGGGTTGGGTGGGACACTAAAGACTAATATACCCCCAGTTGATCCACAATGTAACAGAAAATCAAGGTTTTAGGTAGGCTTGCACTGCTCTAGCACTTCAGCTCTCTTTTTAACCGTGTTGGATCTGTAGGCTGGCGGCAAGCCGAAGGCTGACCGATGCAAAAAGGCTTGATCGGTCACATAGGAAAATACCCCCCGGCTAGGCTTCGTGAAAAGACGAGTGAGAACGGCATGCAGTCGTCTGTTTCTATGAATGCTAATGCAAATTGAGGCAATAGGCTCTATGTTAGGGCATATGAGGCAGCGATGCGTGTCCTGTTTTGGGCATCGGGCCGAGGCGGTCCCTGGACAGGCACGGTAGGCTGCGCGGGCGGCGAGAAGGCGTGAAACCAGATTAAGGCGCTCTGTCAGTTAGGCGACGACGACCGAAAGGGTTGAGGCTGGGCGGCAAGCGGCTTGACGTGAACGCAGCTATGGACCTGCGAGAGAGCGTGACATGGTCGCTAAGTGCTGTATACCTTGCGAGGCTGAGGCTGATGGCCGCACGGCAACGACCTGAGGCGAGATTTCAGGGCTGGTTTGTGCAGCCCGATATTTCTGAGGGCAATCGGAATGACTTTGCATGCCGATGGCTAAGGCCCTGAAGGCGCCACGGGAGGCCCAAGGCGCACGAATACCTGGCAAGGCTGCAGGCTATAGGTGTGGGCGGGCGGGGCTTTTCGAGAACTGCAAGTGCTAGAGCCAGGCTACACGAAGGCATGTATGCATGTCATGTGTAGAGATTCGCAAGCTCCGAAAACATTCCTGAAACAAAACAGGTAACGTTTTAGGTAAGCTTGCACTGCTCTAGCACTTCAGCTCTCTTTTTAACCGTGTTGGATCTGTAGGCTGGCGGCTAGCCGAAGGCTGACCGATGCAAAAAGGCTTGATCGGTCACATAGGAAAATACCCCCACTTTAGGGACAGATCCAACCGGTAAACAAGGCAGGAAGAAGAACTCCCCCACCGCGGGCGGTGGAGCTGGACCTGGGCAAGACAGGAAGTGCCACAAAGCTCTGCGTCATGAAGTGTCAGCATAAGGCGGCAGAAGAAGGCTGTCTGACATTTTCGCTCTGCGGCTCTGTCGCCCAAGAGGGCTGGCTTAGTGGCTTAGTCAGTCCTGTCGCGGCAACAGAGGGCTGGGCACGTCAGGGGCGCCGGCCCAAGACGCCTGAGACGCTGCTGAGGCAAGGCGCTCCAGTAGGATGCGGACTCGCTCTTGCGGTCTATGGCTAAAGGCTTGGAGACGTCCTCGGCTAAGGTCGTCTGCCCATTGGTTGTGTGCCCCCGCCACGTGGGACACCTGAAGGTCGACCCCATGGCAGGATGACCAAGAGGCTATCAGCTGAAGGAACTGGGACAGCGACCAGCTGGTCGTGAATAATTTATTCACTCCTGCTTCGGAAGGCGTGTTATCGCTCTGAGAAGGCAAACAGACTGCGAATTGAGAGAAGGCGTGCCGCTCGCGGGCAGTCATGGCTAAGGCAAGTTGGGCTAAGGTCTCGAAGCAGGCTATATACTTCTGGGCATCTTTTGCGAGGAAGGGCCATGTGCGTCTGACCTCGTCCATGATCCATCCTCCTATGCCGACCCTGTCTCCTTCCGCCATGGCATCCGCTCTGGCAAGGCAATTCACGAGGGGCGGAAGAGAGAGGCTGGTGGTTGGGATAGCTTCCACGCGGGGCAAAAGCCATCGAAGGCTGTCCTGCGCAGCCTTGGTAAGCCTGATCTCTGGGCATGCACGGTCGGAGAGGCGGACCCAGGTAGGGCCTGAGGACTTGGGTTGCGCAGGGAGGTCGGCTTTGCAATGCACGGGTCGGTTGCCGACTTCTATAATGCGTGCCTTGACCGGCAGGTTGACTCCGGGTATAAGTCTGCATATGACTGTTCTGGAGTGCAGGCTGTGTAAGAAGGCTGGCCACATTCGTGAGGATATAGAGCAGTTGCTGCCTGGAGGGCTGTTGAGTACGCTATAAAGAGGGGCGACGTGGGCTCGGAGGACCTTGCTTATGGCTGTTGCCCACATAAGGAGACCAACGCAGGCCTCGAGGTCCTTTCTGGGGACTTTCTTCTTGGCGAGAAGCGCTTATAGCTGACTGCATAGCTTTGCTCGCTTGGCTTCGCAAAGCTCCACGGTTTCCACGCGAAAGTTGAAATGCCAACCGCACCACACAAGGCTGTCTCCCACGGAGGCCTTCTTCCAGCTGATGGGAGCCGCTAGGCTCGATAGTGTGGCTATGAGGAGGAAGAGGAGCTCGGGGGCGTGCGCACGGAGCAGGGCTGTCAGAAGGTCATCAACATACAGCCAGGCTTTATGAGGGGCGAAGGCTAGGGCATGGTGGGCTATTCGCGTGATAAGGCCTCCTACTCGCTGCCACCAGTATGCAGAGAACTTGGCTCCGAAATGACAGACCACATACCTGTAAAGGATCTTCTCAAACATGAAGAGCAGAAGGCCTTGTTCTGAGCTATGGACTTTGACCCCCTTGTGGGCCGCCTTGAAATCTACACTGGCCGCAAGAAATGCGCTACGAGGGTCGGAAGACAGGAACGTGGCCCGGACGTCGTTGACCGTAGGCATGGCGACCGCCTCCGGGATGCGGCACATTGGGTTAACCTGGCAGACGGCGCTGTCCAGGACGAGGCGAGGATCCCTATTGTCGGCTTTCACAAGGCTAAGTTTCCCAACGGCTATGCCCTTGGGCCAAAGGCGCTTGGCTTCTTCTAGACCTCCTGGCACAGGTTTGATCCAACCTGCCGCTTCCTCGTCGGCGAGAAGGCTTCGGACTGTGTCTGGATCGGCGTCGGCAGGCTTCCAATTGCCCTCACAGACCTCAAGTCCAGAGGAGCTAAGGGGCTGGATCTTGGCGAGGGGCCAGAGCCCCGAGGGCTGAATTTCGTTAAACACTCCCGTGTGGACTCCGACTCTGAGATGGGCTGGGAGGTCTTTGTCAGGGTCTTCGAGAAGATCAGCAAAGGCTTGCATCAAGTTGAGTCGGAAAGGCTGTCCGTCGGCTGCTTGGGTCATGGAGTCATAGTCCCAGTCCATGACCTCGCATGCTATGCGGATGAGCTGGAGTTGGTCGTCTTCCGGGATCGGGTGATCCGGCTTGCTTTGGGAGGTGTGGGCGAAAACTTTCTTGGGCAGGTCCCGCTGCGAAGCCCAACTCAGCCAGGCTGTCATGATGGCTTGCATGTCGGCTGGGCTTTGTTTAGGGCTGCTCCAGTCGGCTCTGCCCCGTCACAAATGGGTGCTCGATTGGCCGTGAGCTCAGAGTCCTGGTTGAGGGCTGCTGTGAGTGACAAAGGCTGGGCCGGCTTGGTGGATAGTGGCTCCAGGGCGGCTAGACCCGGGTCCGCGCATGGCCAGGTAGGCAGAGGGGCAAAGGAATAGGCCGCCGTCATGGACGGCCTCGCAGAAGGGTGCTGCCTGAAAAAGGAAGTGAGCGAATGGCTTGCAGGAAGGCACAGGCTTCCTCTACAGAGGGACAAACCAGCTCTGAGGGACTTACGTCGGCTATTGGCAAACCGACGGCTGAGAACTGGGAAGTGATGTCGCGGCCACATCGGGTCCTCGCTGCGCTTCTCTTGCACGAGGCTCTGGAGTGCCCTGGGAAGGCCCCGCTGGCTGTATCGGCATCGGCTGCCAAGTAGTCCGGTCACGCAGTGGACGGGGACCCTAGTCAGGAAGGCTTCTTATCGTGGTCCACTGCGCAGTGCACCCTCGGACAGCGCACAAGTGTGCGAACTTGCAGTTAGGCAAGGCGCAAAGATTTGTCTGGTAGCGCTTACAAAGGACTTTCCCCTTGGCTTTCAGAACCCAATTGGCTGGCCAGGCCTCGGATTTAGATGGGCTGTCTGTTTGCTTACGCCCTTTGCCCTTGGCTCCTTTCTCCAAGGCTTGGGCGTTAAGGCGTGTGCGCTTCGTAGGCGGCGGGGGTGGATTTCCCCCGGGCGGTTGGGGCCGGGGGGAGTGGGCGGCGGCCTAGGCCTCGGCTGCAGCAGGTTGGCTAGGTCGCTGCGGATGACCTGACGCTACCAGACTGGATATGGTGTTCCGTCTGCTGCCAGGAGCTCCTGAGTGGTAGGGCCTCGGAGCGAGGCGTCTGTGAGGTCGGGAAGGGCTAGATGTTCAACCCGCTTATCGCTGTTTTCGCCTTCTTGTTTTGAGGTTTGAGCCGAACGCTAAACCTTCTAAAATCGCTCATTCAAAATTGGACGAATAAATGCCCGTCAGAGACAAATATATATAAGAGAATATAAATTCAATCATTCAAGCACTCGGACGAAGACTCTTTTTCCCGGATGGTGGTGGATGTCCCCTCGTCGGAGGGAAGGCAGGCACACCTGGTGTGCGAAGCCTCGCCCCCTCTCCCTGAGTCACCAGGGCGTGCCTTCGCGCTTCCTCTTCGGGACATGGGGCAGAAAACTGCTTGCAGACTGCAGCGCCTTACGAGACGCATCGAAGTTGGACTTCGACAACCACAACTGATTCAAGAGCTCAAGTGGTAGCTCGCTGAAACTGACGTTCAAGCGGTGTTCGGAACTGAAAGAGCTGAAATCCTGATTCGTCAGAGCATCTGCCAACTTGTTTTCGTCGCGTGGTTTCCAAGTCAAGCTGAGCCTCAGACAAGCCTTCCTTAAGAGGTGTGAGAGCTGCATGTTGATGAGCATGAGTGGCCACTTAGTAGTGGACTGTTTTCTAAGAAGCTTCTCGTTGCTCTGATTGTCCGTGGCCCCGGCAATGGCGACCGGGAGTCGCCTCTGCGAACTACTCTCTTTAAGGTGTCCGAAAAACCACAAAGCAGCCAATGTAGCTAACAGCTCGGCTGACGCTGACGCCCATTGTGATTTTCCCGCTTCGTCGAAAAGGTACGGTGCATCCGCAGGCTTAACCACTATGGAGAACCAAGAAGCAACCGAAAGGTCCTGGCTAGAGCGGCTAGAGTCCCAACCTCCTAAGACAACATAACCATCATCGCATTTAGCGTCCGTGTGAAAGAGATGCCCTTTCTCTTCCCGTTGTCGACCCGGTGCGACCTTGAAGTTGATGTCTTTAAGTGTTGCCTCCAAGTAGAGCAAAGTCAAAGCAATAGTGTCCGGCATTTTTGCAACATGGCTCTTCGAAGCTGCAGCTGACCAAGCATACAAGGGGGCCAAGTGCGGTTTGATCCAGTACACGACCCTGGACACGAAACCAAGTCTCCCGAGAAACTCTGCAAACTTCCTAACGGAAACGACGAAGCGTGCCTTCCGTGCCTCATCGACCCAGTTGCACACCCAAGCGCCTCGGGCTTCGCTGAGTCCCACAAGTCTGGCGCCGTAGTCAAGCTCGTAGCCTATGAAAGCGACAAGCGTTTTCCCCTTGAACTTGTGGTAGGCGAAAGGCACCCCTATCATTTCTTGAAGGATTAACCAAACCAAGAAATTGATGTACATCCGCTTCCCATAGAAAGTGGGATGCACGTCGTCCACATAAGCGAAGTGGTAAAAGGCGTGCTGCAGTAGGCAACGGGTGACCACTCTGCCTATGATTCCGTACAGCCTGCTCCACCAAAATGAGGCTGGGCTAAGCCCGAACGTTCCTACTTTATTGATCCAAATCGTGTCTGACCCTTGCTCCGCCCTGCATGACATCAAGGCCCAATCGCTCTTCCGATGCAAGACCAACCTGTGTGCAGCACTCACGTCCGCGGTTGCGGCCAAGGGAATCTCTTGCATAGCACCTGGTTGCCGAACTGAAAATGACATCTCGGCCGGCCCTGGTACGGCTAGCTGATTCACCAAGCGTATCTGATTGTTGACATTGACGCCGTGCGTTCCATCATGTGATGGCCGCACACTGCCATCGGGTTTGAGGATGACTCCCATGGAGGCCACGCGGATCATGTCCTCACTGTCCTCCTCGCGCAAGGCTCCGAGCGTTGTCGGTTTCATCCGCCCAAGTTTTTCTTCGGCACGAAACTTTTCGAGGAGCTCGGCGGAGCTCAACTCGGCGCTCTTATAATTTTCCCGATCAAACTCCAACTCTGACTCATCAAGTTTACGCCAATGACATTTCTTTTCATACACCTGCGGCAAATGCGGTATGTCACAATTAAGACCTAGGGGCACCCCGGTACAGAAACTGTCGACCCCCTCCGTTAAAACCTGCCAGTCTGGGTCCTCAAGTCTTTCAGCCGAAAGTGACAAGGCCCTGAGCAAGAAGGGCTGCGCACCTGGGATTTCGAGCACGTCTGGATTGTTCTCTGCACCAAGTACCCCTGCCCACTGTTTACGCAGGGCTTCCAACTTCTCCCCAGCGAATGGGGATGATTCGACCTTACCTGAAAGTAGGCTCAAGCAGAAGCGTCGGGGATCAGGAACATGCTCGGCAATGAAGCTCGTAAGCATCCGGTACATGGATTGTGCATGTGCAGTAGCCGCTGGGCCCAGGCGATGCCCCCGATCCATTGGCCTCCATCGCCCCGGGGAACACAACCCGAACCCGTCTGTCATGTCAGCCTCCTGTCCTTCCCACTCAACACGAATGGGGTTGCCGCGGTTCCCGCATGCCTCTGGTCTGAACGGCACGGGTGGTGCTGTGTCTTCTGCGCTTGGGCCCTCGGCAGTACCCAGAGCTTCTGAAGTCTCCCCATTTGATGCATCCAAGTCAAGTGGTAACTCGAACCCCAAGGCCTTAAGGTGAGCTAGGTCGGAAGCCTCAACATTGCCAAGCTTATCGGTCATGTATGCTACCATCACCACCCGACGGCCCTTCCACGATCGGGTAGCATGGTATGACCGCCATGCATCGAAGCTTACAGGACCCTTGCAAACCTCCAAGAGGACGCCAGGTCTCTGCCCTTCTGGCGTTGTCTCCCATACATCGCCTCCTTGCTGTTCCAGCCAGATTTGGCCGTCTTCGAAATCGGATAACGGCGCTACCATGTTCGGATAGTGTGCATTCCGGGCATCACGATGGACACCCGTCCTGACATCATCGAAGATCGCAATAGCGGATGCTTGAAAGCCAGGTGCAACCTGCTGCAAGTACCTCGTTAGAACCTGTGTCGACTTAGGCATCGCAGTTGAATGATGCCTCAAACCGACTAAGCCACCCTTGCAATACGCGCCCGTTGCGAAAGCCCTGCCCGGTGTAGGCGAAGTCGATTCCCTGGGCGGCTCCTCGCGGGGCAGCATGTCAAATAGCTCTAACACCCGGCAACGTTCTAGCGGACCTGGCGCCGCCAGTAGCTTTGAGGCTGCATTCTCGGGATCGCGGGAGGACTTCAAAGGATGCGCATGGGAACTACAACCTGAACGGGAAGGAAGAACCGCCGAGGCCCTAGGGGACCTACAACCCGAATGGGAAGGAGGAGCAGCCGTGGCACTGCAACCTGAAGGCGAGGACGGGTCGGTAGCCAAAGAACCTGAAACGCCGGGCAAGGGAGGATCCTCAGGGCGCGCACCGGGCACTTCGGGGACCTTAATTACCTTATCAGGAACCTTCGACTTAGAGGATTTGCACTCCCCATCTGCTTGCAGCGAGAAGTCGATGGCTGCTACCATGAATTGACACAGCTGAGGCGGCCAGCCGCGGGCCCGCGGCAAGTTCCACTGTTGCGTAGCCTGCGATTTTCCGGTGCTAGCTGCTAGTAGCATGACCCCCATGAGGGCACGACGCGGGCAGCGGCCCAACGTAGCGGTGATCTGCATCCAACATCGGCAGCCCAGTCAAAGGCCGTGGCGAGTGACGAAAGAAGGGCAAATTACTCAAGTAACGTGTTGGTTTTGCCAAGTCAGCCCCGAACTCGCACAAGTAATGCACAAAGGTTGTGGCAGCAAAACGCGGAATGCAGTCAAGTAATTCAGGCCAAGCCCAAATGGAGCTCGGCACGAGGCCGTCAGCAGTGCGGCCCAAGTGTTCCGGCGCTTCCCACATGAAGAAGTTGCCAGCCTCGGCCGCGAAAACTGTTGCTTTCAAACACTGGTCGATAAAATGATTGGCAGAAGTCACCTTCTGCATGGACGAATCCTTAAGCCATGGAAAACCTCTGGGCCACTTGTCACTGCGGAGTGGCGGGGGCCCAGGTTGCTTATGCCTCGCCCGACTAAAAGTATCATAGGGTGGCGAAATCAAGATCACAGTTTTCGGTTGTTTCACAAGCTCAAACAACTGATCCCAAGCGTCCCCACTAAACAGGTTGTTTGCATCAAATCCAAAAGCAATGAATTCTGGCTGCGACATGCTGTTGCTGAGATGCGGCTTCCAATCAAAGCGCTCAGCAGGATCTGCAAAGACATGCACCACCCTTGGTGCCACAGGTTGGCCTGACAGCAACGATGGCAGCTGGTGCCCATGCGCCCCCTGCTGAGCGCAACTCTGTCACTTGCCTGCTGTCGCGGCTTCGTGCTGCGAGGCTGGGTGCTCGCCGAAACACCCTGCAACACGACATGCACACGTGCGCACTTCGGATCGGTACAGCCTTGGTGGTTGTATGCATAACACAGCTGACGACCATCAGGAGTCGCTGACACAAGCGCAAGCTGTTTCCCATTTGCCAAGACAACCTGGCCCCTGCCTTTCTTGCCTTTGCCTTTCCCTGTTCCACGTCCGTTCTGATGTGGCGCGGGCGGCGGCGGAATCTCTTGCCCTTGAGTCTTATCCTTTCCTTTGCTATTGCCCTTCCGAAACTTGTTCGGTGTACCAGCTGTGTGCAAGGCCAGCGGCGTTGTAAAGTAAGCCTCTTTCAAAGATGGGTCCTCACGCACTGCCCGAAGTGCCTCCGCCATGGTGGCGGTTCCCTCCAGGATCATTTTGAAAGCTTCAACCCTCAACTTATATTCATAACTCAAGACGATGTTCCATGGTGGCCGGTTGAACTGGGTCTCCAGCCCAGAAGCAGTGGGCAACTTCAAATTGCCAACACGATCTCCCAAGATGTATTCAACAAACCTAGTAAAATCTTCAAGCTGAAGCCCTTGCAACCAAGCCTTTGCCTTGAACCGTGCACTCATGCAAAGCCATGCATGTGCTTCCACTTCCACCTTCATCAAACGTCGGTAGCCCTCTGAGTGATGCGGCATTTCCAACTTCTGCATTGTCTTCGTTACACGAACATGCCCGGTGGGATCAATGCTAGTCTGGAGGCTCTCCACCTGCGAATCCTTCTTTGAAGAGATACGATCAAGCGAACTCGCGAGAGGCTCATTGCTCTCGCACTCTTCGGCCTTGGTTGCCAAGTACTCTGCACTTGGAGTCTCGCTTTCATTCATCTTCCCGTATGCGTCTGTCACCGCTTTCAATATAGCTTGGCGTTCCTGCACTTGCAAGATTCTCTTATGGCCTAACTAACACTTTCGCCTCCGCACGTAGTTCGATTTCTTTACTCGCATACTCCTTGGCAAGTTCCCATGCAGCCACTATAGCAGCCACCTCAACACGGCCCGCCGGCGTATCAGGATTAATCCCGAAATCACGAGCAGCTATCCTGGCACCTTCGCGATTATCAGCGATCGCCTGGAATCGCCTACGACTCTGATGGAGCCGCGCAACCTCATATTGCGTGGCCAGTGACGCACTGGCTTCCTGTAGCACATACTGCAAGTCGGAATCCATCTTTGCAACTTCTGCTCTCTGATCTGCCTCACTGGGCAACGCCATGCTATCTGAAACAGCACTGTGCTGTGCGACTGAAACCGCAATCTCAGCGGTGGCCCATGGCAACTGAAAATCACGTGGCTCCTAATGCAGAATGTGAAGAACTGCATGCACTCAAAGCTTTCACTGTAAATTCAAGAAACTCTCACATTCAAGAACATGCCGACGCTCCCGCGATGCTGCCTCAGCCAAACTTCCTCATGCAAGCACCTACCCATGCAGCACAGTGAATCAGCCAAGTACATGTCGCACCTCAAACACAGCACATGCCTACCGCAACAAACGATTTGTCACCAAGCTACAATCGTAAAGCTCACCCCTCATCGCTGCTCGAGTCACTTGTGGACCCACTCTCGCTACTTGTGTCCTGATCGTCTTCGGCACCTTGATCTTCCTTCATGCGATGCTTGCAATCACGACAAATGCTGTCAATCTGCTCCAAAGCGACGCGCTCGACAAACTCGACCCTATTGCAATGATGTGGCTTAACATGGCACGGTCCATTCAAGTGTAGCCTGCGATGGCCCGTCTTACGACTGACGCTAATGAAGTATTTCGTGGCACTGCCCTCAACGGTCATTGCTTCGGCAGCCTCCTCCTCTTCACTGGCATCTGCATCATCCTGTTCAATGGCAGGCCACTTGTTGCCCAAGCAGCGTACACCTTCCACAGTCCTAAGAATGTCATGCCGCCGCCTTGCCAACGCACCTGAACCTCCACGCTCGTCTACAAATACCTTTAGCTCTTCGAGGGCCTCACTCTCTTGATACTCGCCACCCTGGCCGGTGACAATTGTTTTGCAGACTCCGATCTGTATGCGATGCTGCGATGCACAACTTCCCGGGCAGTGCGCGTGTAGTCAGCTGAACCCGAACCACCGATCATCCAACGACCCAAGAAATCCCTCTGATCTTTAGACCAACCCAACACTGCGGCAGCCGAAGTAAGCCAGTTGCGTGGGCTATGCCCCGTGAAGAAGCCTTGTGCCCCTTCCACCAAGAGGTATCTCTGCACGTTGAGGCGATATGCCCCATCCTCAAACTTCGGCGTTGCTAGCCTCTTGAAAACCTCACGCACATAGCCTGCAACTACCTCGCTCTTAGCAAAGTGCTTAGTTGGCCCTTTCCAATCGTGCCTGGCAGTCATGACAAGGTAGTCTCTCGGCTGGGTATACTTCTTCCAAAGCGCGAAGCCCTCACCTAACCAATCAAAACCGGACAATCCTGCCTGCCTGTGTATGAAGACCGAGACCTCCTTGTTGCGCCGATCTGCGCCTGTTGTCTTGGTGCGTCCAAGCGTAGCTTTGAAGCCCTGTGCAGTAAGCCGCATGGTGGCCGGCAGCATCCCTTGCAAGTCGTCCATTCTCATGGAACCATACACAGCTAGCAGCGCCACGAATGCCATTGCCCGTACATACTCTGGCTCATCCTCCCTCGCAATGTGCAGCTCAAGTGAAATGATCCCGTTATCATTGGTGCTTGCTGTACTGGCGCTTGCGCACCCACCAAATCTGCAGTCAGCGACTTCAAGTGTGCCATCCAAGTCGTATCGCTCGACAGCCGCTGTGTCTCTGCGACCTTTCCCACTTGCTCCAAGACCGCCAGCGACGCCTGGAAACTGTTCAGCACTGTCTTGCCACACTCGCTTTGAAATCTCTCATTGCTATAGTCAATCAGCTGCCGCACGCTAGTCGGCCATTGCACTTCATGGACGCACTGCAGCCACGTTCTGAAGGGTTCCCATGCCTTTAAACGGTTTCGCAGCGTCTTGCTCCTGCGGGTTCCAAATATCCGTGGCCAAACTTCTTCAGCCCGGTCCACTCCCTCCAGCTGTTGCACCAATGGCAACTTCGCCTCCTTAAGTATCTCAGCCAATTGTAAGGCATACTTCTTCTTTGCCAGCTGCTCTTCCTTTGCGCGCTGTGCAGCGTCTGTATTCTCTCTAAGCAGGCGCCTCTTCCGCTGCAGTGCCGGCAGCAGGACAAGCGGGTTGCTCCTTGCCAGCTCATCAAGTGTATCCGTCAGCTTCGGCACCACACGTTGCTGTGGTAGTACCTCCCACATGCCCTGCAATGACTCTCTTCGCTGCCGCTTGATTGCTGATTCATTTTCCTGTGCCCATGCCACAAGAACGTCTGCTCTCTGATATTTCCCATCTCTGTTGATGCCTGGCAAGAACACCTCGATTAGTCTACAGCCAGTCCCTCGGTTGCCTCAGGTACTTCATGTGTTGCGTCACCCGGGGGGCCAGTCTCCTGATCTCCTCATGTCAGAGGAAGCCTCCGCGTTCACCATGCGCAGCCTTAAGGTTTGCCTACTCAGCGCCAGAGCACAACTGCAAGCAGCCGACAAGATACGCCGGCAGCAAAGCCACCACAAAAAGCGTGCAACTGTACGGCAGGGATGAGGCTGGTACGCGAAGGCTAGGTTCTCGACCGTCTCAAACCCTTTGAGCTCGGCCTCGCTGGAGTAGACAAACCTGTCCAGGCTCGGAGCCAGGGCTGCAAGAGGCAAGCTCCGACCTCAAACGGCGGCTCCACTGTTGGGCTCTGGCCTAACAGCCGTCGACACCTTTTTTTTTCAGCTCTCCGAGTGGAACCTCAGCGACATGGAGATTTCCGACGCCTTTCATTCCGTGCAAGCAGCTCGAGCCAGGAAAGCCCTCACAGAGCCCAGCAGTCGCAAGATTGCCATCTACCTTTCGCCTTCTCCGCCTTCTCTGCAGCCTCGCTCCGTTGGTCTCGCCTTCCTTCTGGATAGAGTACCTCCCCGAAGCTCTTGACATGATCATGAACCGTGGCAAAAACCGCTTGAAGGATCTACCACCTGTGCAAAACTTTTGTACTTGTGGATCAGCTAGTTGAGTGTGATGCGCGCGTCCGTGTGCTCTCTTGCCAACACTTCCCTGTTGCTCTCCATGGGCGCCCGCATTGCGACGGCGTCGCAACTGTCGCGCCGCAAGTTCCCTCTGCTGGTTTTTGAGTTTGCTCGCACAGTCATGTTGGCAGATGCAAGCTGATTAGCTGCCGTGCAGCTCAAGAACCAAGCTGTCGTACAAAACCGTCTTCTGCCAGTTTTTCACTGCGTCTTTGCCACCAGGTTCCATGTGTGAGCCAGCCCATTTGCTTACGGTTGGTCTGCCTCGGAGCAGTTTCCTTTACGGACTCGCATTCTGATGCTGGTACACCTGCAGTGCTGAGGGTGTGGTTTTAGATCGAGAACAATCGCCACCGAATCAATGCGATTTGGAAGGCTATCCGCTCGCCTTACCTTGGAGGAAAGGGATAAAAGGAGCCTGACCAGCCCTTTTACTCTCGCTGATGTGCCGGAGACTGCGATTGTACTCGTCGCTTTGGCAGGCAGGGTTGAACCAACAGCTACCGGTTTGGCGATCGACGACTTCACAGAGAGCTTGGCTAACTAAGCTTCTCGGCTCGAGCTGTTGCTGCAAGTCGGAGTGGGCGGCGCGCGTAGCTGTAGCAGTCGGTAGGTGCATGGTTTCAAGCTGACCTCCGGGCCTCTGACTCACATCTGGTTTTCACGCATGCTTTATTTTTGGATTTTACATTCTTTTCTTTGGTCGTTTTCGCATGGTTTTCATTGCACCGGACTCAGCAGATTTCTCATGGCGCGTGACACGACAGATGCAGCAGCAACACATGATGTAGAGATGGCCGCTCCGGTCCCAAATCCGGAGGTCGAGTATGAGGAGGACACATCTTTTCATGTTTTCGATAGAAGCGAGGGTTGGAGGCCCCGCCGAGCTTCTGGGAACGGGGATGCACTTGATGATCAGGAACCACGAAGCCCCGTGAAAACAGGCGAATCAGGCCGACCTTGCGGCAAACCTTTTTCCTTTTACAGAAAGCGAGCTTTTAAGCGTGCTGTGGCCAGGGCGACAGTACATGGCACGACACAGTATCGAGGACAGACATGTGACTTACATGCTCTCATGGGACAGTATCAGGCAGGTGGTACGCAGCAGGGCGCGCTCCCAGGACCAACGCTGCAAACACCGGTGCTTCATCGCAGTTTTCGCTTTCATGCATATCTTGGAATTGTGGTGGTCTCAGCTCCCTCAAAGATGAATTGTTCACGTGGCTCGACGAGCACCCTTACGACATTGTCTTTCTTCACGAGAGCTGGCGCAGGCACCAGATGGACTTTGACACATGTGGATATCACTGCATTGGGACTGGTGTAGGCGCGGATGCCAAGAGAGCCCATGCAGGTGTCATGACTTTGCTGCGTAAGTCAGTGTTCCCACAAGATTACATTAGATTTCATGATCCTGTTGCGGGACGCCTCCTTCATGTTAGGGCTTGGTGTGCAGGGGGCTGGGTAGACACTGTCAATGTGTATCAGTATGCACTTGGACAAAGCGGTGACCAAGCTGAGATCTTGCGGAAACGCACTACATTGTGGACATCCCTTCGACAGACATATGGACACATCCCACAAGGCAGCACTCTCGTATCTGCAAGTGACTACAATTGCAATCTGACCACCTTGAAGTCTCATACAGGACCGGGCATGCTTACACCGACGACGCCTTCACCGGATATGGAGGACCTCGTGGCGATTGTGCAGGACTTCTCATTGCTTGCTGTCAACACATTCGGCAGGAAGAACAGCTACACTTACATCCATGAGGGGTGCAAGCCGGTACGCCGCTCCTTCATTGACTACATGTTTGTTAGGCAGAACAAGCACAGTGATTACAAGTCTGGACTTCTGCGTGATTGGCAGGTTGCGCGCTGGCGCAAAGGTGGAAGGCATCTCCCGGTTTGGTCACGATTTTCTATACGAAGGTTCAGGACTCAGAAACCACAGCAGAAGCTTGAATGGCCTCGATGGCGCTGCCGCCTTCTTTCACAGGCCATCACGGAGCAGCCACAGTTGGCCGAGCGCTACACAGAGCAGGTTGCCGTCGCGTTGCAAGCTGTTGATAAGTATGAGCCCAAGAAGTTGAACGCCCTGCTGCTGGAGGTCGGGAGAAAGGTCTTTCATGTTCAACGACCACCCAGCTTGCCGCCGCCCTGGACTGGAGCGCAACACATCGGCGGCATCAAGGACATGTGGCAACATTATCGACTCATGCGCAGGTCCTTCGAGGAGGCCAATCGTTCTCGTGTGGGGCGACTCCGCATGGTTCAGAAGCACTCTCGACAACTACGCCGGACCAGGTTGGCACAGCTGCTTCAGGAGGCGGATGCCCACACACGCTCAGGTTGCAGTCAGGCGCTCTTTGATCTCATTCGGAGAGTGGCACCCAAACAAGCACGAAAACGAGCGCAACTGCGGTCCAAGGAGGGCAAGCTGCTTACTCCGGCTGAGGAAGCCCGTGCCCTACAGGATTTCTGGCGATCGGTGAATGGCGCACCAGGGTCGCTCCTTCGTTCGGGACAGGCTTCCAGCTACAACGTGCTGCAGCAGGACATTGAGCAAGCCCTACGCGATCTTCAGGCGAGCAAGGCTGCCCCGCCCCATTGTGCTCCACATGCCTTCTGGAAACTGGCCTCTTCCCCAGTTGCTGAGTTTATGGAAGATAAGGTTTTCTCAAGCTGGCGAGAGGATCACGCGTGGGTCCCAGATGATTGGTCGGCGGCATGGCTGGTGTTCCTGCATAAAGTTGGCAAGGCCAACGACGACCCCGCGTCATTACGGCCCATCGCGCTGCTAGACCCAATGGGCAAAGCAGTCAGCGGTGTTCTGAAGAGGCACCTCGAACCATATCTGTTGAAGGCAACTGCCACATTGCCACTTTATGGCTATCTAGCGAACAGATCCCCGCAACAGGCCCTCACGGTGGTCTATGAGCACTGCGACAGAGTTCGAACTGCAGCCCGAGCCCAAACTCGATCCTGGTACGAACTACGAGCGGGACAGAAGAGGTCATCGTGTGCAGGGGGCCTCCAGGTCAGTGTGGATTTTTCTCAAGCGTTTGACCGTGCAGACCGCCAACTTTTGGTGCGTGCCTTGCAATTTCTTGAAGTGCCGGATGACTTGACCGATGTGATTCTCAGGTGGACCCAGAATACGGTTTTTCACATTGACAAGGCCGACGCGTCTGAGCAGTATCATTCTAGTACTGGCATCCGCCAGGGATGCAAGTTGTCCCCTACATTGTGGTGTTGTCTGTACACCTATGTGCTACATGTTCTTGACCAACAACTTGGTGCGGAGTGGAGCTTAGAGCACCTGCTGGGATTCGCGGATGACACACACCTGCGATGGGAGTTTCAGGATCGAGAAGGCCTGCTCAAGGCCCGTGTTGAGGCAGGACGTGCACTCAGCATTCTTGAGGACCTCGGTTTCTGCATTAGTCGGGATAAAACAGTATGCCTGCTCAAGGCGGAGGGTGTCCAAGTTCCACACCTGATGCGCAAAATCACGCGCAAACGCCTGCAGCCCAAAGGCACTCTGCTGGTTCTCGATGAGAGATGGACGTTACCGCTCAAGCGCGACCACATCTACTTAGGAGCCGTGATCTCATATGGCAACTACGAGATGCTCAATGCACAACATCGCAGACATGCAGGACAAGCGGCCTTTTCACGCATGCGCACTACGCTTATGTCGCACCGTGCTCTCTCCCTCGACAAGAGGCTGCATCTGTGGCGTACCATTGTCCTGCCGGCCACTCTGTATTCCTTGTCTTCTTCAGGATACACCAGGAAATCCTTTGATCTCATCGGGGTCGTGATGGTCAGGCAGATTCGTGCCATTGCCCGCAGTCCGAGACACCTCACTGAGGAGAGTGGTCTGCATCTACTACAACGCCTACGGCTGCCTCAAATACATGAGATGCTGCTTCAGGTCCACAGTCGAGTCGTTGAGGCTTCCACTTCTTTGCGCCAGATCCTTAGTCCACAAGATGTACGTCTCACGCAGGATATCGTCCAGTGTGAATGTCGGCTCCTTGAGGTTTTCAAGCAACTTGTTGCTACGGATGCAAAGGCTGCTGGCACGCCGAACAGGCTCACGTGTGAGCACTGCGGGCAATCCTTTGACAATGATGCAGCCCTGCGGCAACACAAAGGTCGTATGCACAGCAAAACCAGAATGGAGGCGGCACCCACGGTGTTCGACAGGCAACAACATGGCACTGACGGCATGCCACGTTGCCGTGGATGCGGGCATCCCTTCGCTAGGTGGGCGGACCTTCAGAAGCACATCGAGGAGAACCACTGCCAAGGCAAAATCCAGGAGGAAGCGCCCGCCCCTGAAGAGCGGTCCTCCGTTATGCAACAGGCTCGCGCTGGTACGCTACATGTACAATCGCTCACTCTGTCCATGCTGACGGACGAGCTTAGGCTGGAGCTGCTCTCACATTGTGCGTGTTGTAGACAGTGGATGCCCAACTCCAGATACGTCAAGATGCACTGGAATCGAGTGCACAAAGCTGAATCCCAACAGTTTCAGGCTCGTACACTTCAGTGGCGTCGTCTTTCTTTTGAGCCCATCAAAAACACCTGTCCTTGGTGTCAGGGAACAACTGCGGAACGCTCGGATCATCGGGACACTTGTCCGGTCGTCTTTCAGCTCAGTATGGTTCGGGCCATCATCCTGTGCACAGACGAGGCTGAATCTCCGGAGGCTGAGACAATGATGCCGGACATGACTATTCCAGCAAAAGCCGACGTACCGTCTTGGAACATGGAGTGTATGCTGTGTCGCGAGTCGTGCACTGCCAGAGGGTTGCGCAAACATTTCGAACAGAAGCACCACGCGGTTTGGAATCAGGCTCAACCTAAAGTGGACTTGCTTTGCGCGGCTTGGGCAAAGGGACTTGAAACCAAATGTCAGTTTTGCAACAGTACCTACAACAAGCGCAATCGACATGCCATCACTTGTCCTGCTGTTACACAGACTGCCCTGGCGCGCGTGTTGAGCCATACCTCAGCCCCGGCAACGAGTGCACCACCGACGGATGGCGACTGCAATGACACCCGGAGCAGCACAGGCGGAGATTCAAGAGGTGTTCGGAGCCCTGGTTGCGGAGAGCGGGCTGCTGATGGGCCTCGGAGCGGGCTCAAACTTGGGCAAGCGAAACTCGGAGAATCCGCAGGGACCCACAGCGAGCCGACCAGCCAAAACGGGCCGCCTCAACAACGGCCAAAAGGGCGGGCGAGGCAAAGGAGGGCGACCGTGGCATCAGCAGAGCAGACGATTTGTTTCCGAGTCCAGCCACCAGCAGCAGCAGCAGGAGGAGGTGAGCATGGAGGACCTGTTGAGGCTCCTGTCTTCGATCATCATGCGACACGAAGACCAGTTGAAGATTCTGAGGCAATCAACGGGATGGGTGTTGTTCGCCAAAACAGCATCCCCGTCCATTGTACCGGGGATCATCAAAGCCTCCCTGAAGTGGAAGGACGAGGTGGTCAAGCCGGACTGCAAGTTCGCACATGTGAGCTTGCGCGCAATCCTCTTCTGGAATCTGGTGGAGCAGATGTTAGCAGTGCTACAGGGTCTTACGCAGGACATGAAGGACAAGGCTGTGGAAGAGGGGTGGATGAACAGAGCGGGAGCATGGGTGTTTCAGGAGTGGTCGCACGAGAAGCACTGCCTACAGGTCGACAGCGCACGGGACCCAACGACGACGGAGGATCTCCTCAACATCCTACGAGAGCTGAAGACGCTCGCGACCTCGGAGGTGATCTCGGCGTTCTTTTCGAATCGACCGCTGACGGAACACATGCAAGGGCACATGGTAGTGTTCCAGCTGGATGTGTCGTTCAGAAAGGAGGTGGCGCATCGCTTCTGTTCTAGGAAACCCCAGATGTCCATGATGCTTTTATATGCTCACTGATGCCTTGGCTAGGCTGTTGAGCTACGTGTTTGAAGTATCTAATTAATATCTCTTGCGAACCAATTCTTTTATCTACTCTTTGAACACCGCACATGCATACATGACACACGTACGTGTTCGAGTGCTGTGCGGTAGGAGTAGGAAGATGGGCACTGGCCCGAAACAAGAACAGAAAGAAGACCTCGAAAAAAGAAAGCGGAAAGGCTACGGGGCAGCCATGTAAAGGTCTAGTGCAAGGGATTCTCACTTCTGTTCGCGTGCATGTTTTTGCAAACGACATATGCTTGTCTCGAAGGCGCCAAGCATGTCTCAAAGCCATTACACGACGAAACTGCGATGGCTCAAGAACGACAAAAGGCCACTGACTGTGAGAGGGGTTTTTGGAAGTTCGGGGTTTTTTCAGAGCGTCCCTTCGGTGAACACCTTTCGTGAAGCTCTAATTCCCTTGGAAGCCAGAAGCACTGAAAGCCCGTCTGCATTAGATCACGACATTGCAGAGTTCCTTCAGTGCATCAGACAGAGAAGCACGACATTGCAGAGTTCCTTCAGTGCGCGGGCGCACTGACTGGCATTCAGGTTGTAGTGATTCTTTAGGTCGTTTGGTTTCCCTAGCGTTTTCCCGATCCCGGTTTAGGCGGACCTTATCGTACCCTAAAAGGCTCAAACGTTCAAGCTGTGAAGGCTGGTCGGCGACAACGGTCGCGATCAAAGAACTGAACTACTTAGTATTGCTATGGAGCTATCGCCTGTTCCTACGCATTATTCTGTAGTCACCGATGGAAGCCCATATCAACAACAGGTTATGACTGCCCAAGCTACCCAAGAGAACAGCAGTTCACCAGGGACTTATCATGCCACCATGAATGTGCAAACTCTTCAGAGAATGCAGGTCGAGATTCCAGTAGAGGTTTTGCGGAGTTTCCAGCAAGCAACCGCTTTTGATCAGGCAGCATTGTCTGACTTGAGTGCCGCTGTGCAGGAGCTGCATGATCGACTCCAGTATCGCACTGGGCTTCTGGGGTCCGCCGTAGAAAATGTTCATGGTGGGTATCAGAGGGTTCTTGATGAATTGCAAGCCGTAAGCGTTGCCGTGGACGCACAGCATCGCGTGATCCAGACATTGATTCGGAGCCGTGATGAAATGCATGAGCAGATAGAATCAGTGAAACATGATCTTCAGACTAGGGTGGATCTTCTTGAAGGTGCGCAGATGGGTACTAAGCAATGGCAGGCCCAGGTCGAGGCACACATCCAGAAGATTGACAACACCTTGTATGTCATGAATGAACGCCAGCAAAGATTGGATGCAAAGTCCGACGCAGTGCTTCAGGCGTGCAGTGATCAGCAGACTGATGCAGCATCTTCCAGTGCAAATGCTCGTATTGCAATGCTTGAGAAGGATCTGTCAGAGCTGCAGAACAAACACGAACAGTTGCTTAATCTTGTAGGTGATCTGTATGCAGAGGACACCACAGGTCCTGCAACCGCACCGTGGCCAGATTGGAGCTGGCCGGAACAACATGGAGCGGCGTGGCCCACTTTTGAGGCTCCCCAGTTTGCAGTTCCTCCAGGTTTGAGTGGAAATGCTCAAGGCGTTGGCGGCCTAGGTCAAGCGCAGTACTTCAACATAGGTTCACCAGGCCCTGGAGGGAATAATCAGCAAACATATGCAGCAGAGTTTGATTTGTGGGGTGACGCTCAATATGATGCAACGGCAGCTGGAATGGCTGCTGATCCCGGCGGGGAAATTCCGTCTGCAACTGCAGCTGCAACGGCTGCCAGTCAGGGTGGAGGTCAACAGGCGAGTGCCACTACCCAGAATGCAAATGCAACGCAGGATGCAGGTACCAAGCAAGATGCTGATGATCTTGATCTTATCCCCAATGAGAGATGGAAGTGCTTGTTGGAGGTGCCGACTTTTGATCCTAAGGATGGTGTAGGGTTGCCTTGGGAACTAGGACTTCGGTTTGATGTGTGGAAGAAACAATTCCTTACACTAGCCTCCAATGTACATCCCCGGTTTGCTGATTACGTCTCTGTGTGCTTCAAGACAGCGCAAGAACGGCATGACATCCAGGCCGAGGGAAGACAGGCGCCTCCGTTTCAGCCAGTTGCGGGGTATCCGGCGATGTTTGAGTCTAGACTTGTGATGGTGTTACTTCGAGTGCTCCCTGATGGAGTTAAGACGCCTGCACTTGAATCAGACGAAGGCGGCCAGAAGATCACATCTCAGCGCCTGCTTGAAGAATTGTACCTGTGTGTCAGGCCAGGTGGTTTGGAGGAGCAACAAACCCTGGTTAGATTCTTGAGGCAAGTGAATCCCGTTGCAACAGCTCGCGAAGCCATAGAATTGTTGCGTCGGTGGAGGCTCGCCAAGAATAGGATTGCTTCACTGTCCTTGCCAGAGGTGCCGGCGTATGAGCAAATTAGCGGCATTCAGAAGATGCTTAAGAACCTGGAGCGGAAACATGACAGCCTTAGGACCCGTCTTTCCTTGATTCGCATACACCCTGACGTGCAGTTGGCTCGCCCGCAAGGGGTGATGATGGTTCTGGAGACCGTGGAACAGGAGCTTCGGCAAATTGCTGCCGACGAAATGGCCAGGGATAATGCGGGGGATGGTTCAGGGCAACCTAGTGGAAATCAGGCAAAGGGTTCAGAGCAGAAGGGTAAGGATAAAGGGAAAAGTGAGGGGAAAGGGAAGCAGGCTGATCAAAAAACCAACCCTAACCCTAAAGAACATCCCAAAGGCAAGGGAAAAGGCGACAAAGGTGCAAAGCCTGAGGCACAGCCTAAGAGGAAGTGCATTTTTCACGGCCGCAAATCTGGGTGCCGGCTCGGTGATGCTTGTAAGTTCTTGCACGAGGGGCCATCAGGTGCTGCTCAGAGCGATCCGCAAGGGAACAATGCACAGGCACTTCTTGGTGCTGAGGCGCAGAAGGCGAATGCAAAGGCCAAACCCAAGCCGAAACCGGCAGCTAAAGCAGCTGCTACATCCGTCGTCAGCTCATCCTTCGCAGGCATGATTATGTCTGCACCGCGTGAGGAGAATCCTTTCCCGCATCGTCAGATTCCTGAGTGGCCGTTGTGGATGTGTGAACTGACCCTTGAGCAATACCTTGAGTGGCAGAGGAATCCTTTTGGTATGACAGGATACTTCAATCAGGTAGACCATCCTCGAATCAGTCCCAAGCGTAAGGACCTTGAGGCCAATTTGTGGATGCACTTGAGCGAGTGCGAGATCGAGAAATGGATTGAAGGATGGATGGATGGAATGGTGATGAAGATGTACACTGATGCTGGGTTAATTGAAGCTCAAGTGGTATCGGCATGGCAACATGAGACATGTGTTCATGAACCCGGATTCTTGGTAGCGACAGGCTTGGAATCAGATGAAACATGTTACAGGGTTCTGGTGCTTGCGGCCAACCGGCCTGGGTCACCATTGCCTTTCAATGCTATGCAGCAGGCTCGGTTGGATGATGATCGGAGGATTGAAGATCCGAGAGCATCGAGCATTGCGGACAGTGTCACAGGAGCTGCTGATCTTGAATGGGACTTCCAAGAGTCTGAGGAGGAGTCGATGTCCGACTCCGAAGTGCGCACACTTTCATCCTTTGAGACCCTGTCCAGCGAGTCTTCTGATTATGAGATGCCCAGAAGGGGAATGATTTGGGGGATCCACTTAGCCGAGGAGGATTTTCGTGCGTGGATTAGGCCCGGAGTCCTTGGGGTAAATCATGATGAAGCTTTCATTCCTGTGATAGGCGATGAAGGGTTGGAGATGCGTGCATGGAGGACCTTGATGATGTTCCGAGGCCGTCCGGATTGGCATGAGGATCCCATTGACATCAGTTACGGACAGCATATCACTTTTACGCAAGAGGTTCAGGTGCAAACTGCTCCGAGGGTGTTTAGCACAGCTTATGCAGTGTGTGTTCACGATTCTAGACAAGGGCGAGAGATCTTGTTGGGATTGTGCGCGTATCCAACTAGGCCGTGGATCACTCTAGAACCGATCCGTGTGGAAGGGCATGCAGGTGTACTTGAAGCCAGATCCCCCACAGTTCCACCACCTCCTGGATACGGTGGAGGAGATTATGATCATATCCCTGAGATCAACCAACTTCATAGCGCTCAAAAGGGCGTGTCAGGACACAACGGAGTTCTTCTGGACTCTGGAGCGAATGAGATTCTTCGCCAGCAGGAGCACCGTCCTGCCAGATCCGTGCCACTGCCACTTACTTTGGCGAATGGGGCGTCAATCGATGCTTTCCGCACCAAGGAAGGGGAGGTTGTGGTTGTAGGAGTTGAGAATGGGGATATCATTTGTGGGGTAAATAGGCTAGTGCAAATAGGCTGCAAGTTTGAGTGGGACTACATCAATGGTCCCCGACTGCACTTACCATCGGAAGTCGGAGGTGACGAGGAGCAACTGCGCGAAATCAATGGATTACCCTTCATGAGCCGTAAGACTTTCCTTAAGCTTAGGCCCTTGATGACCCAACATTGGAAACACCATCACACCGCTTGTGTTGCTGCTAGCGCGGAATCGATGTCGGAAGTGTGTAACATCTTGAGCTGGTCAGACCTGGACCATGTAATCAACGCCCAGGAGGAGACAGCTGTTCAGGCATTGGTGGCAGAGCATCCTGGAGAGATGTTTGCTAAGAATATGCTTGAAAAAACCGTGCTAACACATAGCGATGTGCTGGAGGCAATCAATCGTGCCGACCTGAAGCCCATGGTGTCAAATCGTATGAACAAAATAGAGGGTACTCAGGAGAAAGTTTCTTTGTGGGTTTTCGGAGCTTGGGTGAAGGGAGGTTTGAGGGGGATAACAACATTGACGCGACATCATCCCTACCTTACGAAGGTTCTTGTGAAGTACATGAGGGCGAACACATCAACTCCCTTTATGTCGGTTGTGATTTCACGGGATTGCGTGTTTCGACCACATAGAGATCCCAACGATTGCAATCATCAGACTACATTGATTGGCTTAACCAAGCATGCTGGAGGAGAACTTTGGATTGAGGACACGAATGGAACCGAATTGCGCACTGTGTCTCAAAACGAACCTCCGAAGCCAGGAAGCTTGTTTGCTACATCAGGAGGCAAGGTTGTGACGTTCTGGGGCAACAAGCTTCATGGAACAGAACCTTACACAGGATCCCGAGTTGTTCAGATTGCATATGTGCCGCGCAGCTGGGACAAACTGTCCAATGCCGACCTGGCGACGCTTGACGAATTGGGTTTTCGGTTACCTAGTGGTTGTAATCCTAGGGCTAGTTCCTTGACCCCAGGTCCAGCCGGATCACCCGATGACCCTAGTCACCCTAAGCCTGAGTCCCGAGGTCCAGCCGGATCACCCGATGATGCTGAAACCTCTAAGCTTACGCCCCATGGTCCAGCCGGATCACCCGAACCACATAAGGACCCTAGACCTGATTCACTTAGTCTGTCAGGGCAGCCTGACGAAGGAGGCAATCCGGAGCAGTGCGACGCCGATTGGGACGGGGATATTTTCAGGGAGTTCGGATTGGTTGGGGATGAAATTTCGGAGAATCTAGCTGGAAGCCATGGAGCCTGCGCCGCAGCCGTTTGCCATGGACTTGAAGAATACAAGGCGAAGGGTTTGAAACGGCCACATAGACGTGTTCGCATTGAGGATCTTTCGACTGGAGTCCTCTCGATTGACATTGCAGGACCTTACACAACAGCTCCAGGAGGAGAGCGGTTTGTCTTGATCGGAGCGTATCGTTCTAAAGAGAATCAAGTGTTACCATTCGTCCGCTGCTTGAAGCGACGCTTGTGGGAGAATGTTGATGCTGGGATCTCTTCTATCTTGAGTGAGCTGTATGCGATTGTGGGTCATCGAGGGCTAGTTCGGATTCATTCGGACAGGGCGAAGGAGTTCTTAGCGACGAAAGTTGTGCAACACTTGAGTGAAGCTGGGATACATCAGACGACCACGTCGGGACATGATCCGGCGGCGAATGGGCTTGCGGAGAGAATGGTCGGGCTCTTGAAAGAGAAGGTCAGAGAGTATCTCATCACGGGAGCTGTGCGGCTATGCTATTGGCCATACTTGTTCCCTGAAGCGGCTAGGTGGATGCGGGATTGCATACTTGGAACATCTTGGCAGGGAGAGCTGCCATATCCTGGTGAGGCGGTGGCTGTGAAGGTCATTGATCCTGCACCTCTGGAGGCTCGGGCTGAACCGGGAGTGTTTCTGGGAAGAGCAGACAATGCGACGCATGGAGCATTCGTACAAGTACAACGGAACAGCAAACCAACAGTTATCTTGACGAGGTTGCCGGCAGTGCTGAAGGAGACAAACAAGCAGTGGCGCACGTTTACTTCAGAGAGTGGAGACTTGATTTGGATTTCTAGCACAGGAGAGGCAAAGCATGCAGAGGCAGTGAGAGACATTGGATTGGACTTGGGACTGATCACGGTGGAAGAAACTCAACGAGGATACAGTCCATCAGAAGGTTTTCCAGTGGCAGCCGCTTTAGCTTCAAAGGCTGGAGGTTCGGATAAGTATACCATTGTGAATGCTGCAGCTGAAGATGAGATGACGGATGCTGAGGAGATGCTTCGAATTCTTGCGGGACAACGGGCATCGGCTGAAATAGTTGACACGAGCGTTTTCTTCAAGGGATCAGAAGCAGATCGGACCAAGTGGTACGAAGCCGCTAAGAAGGAGATGAACACCATGCATGAGCAAGTTGTTTGGCATGAGCTGCGGGAATCAAAGCTGCGCGAGGACTTGGGTTTGGGACCCAAGGAACAGCTGCCGAAAATTCTTCCGATGAGATTGGTGCTGGCGAAAAAACCAGACCTTGAGGCGGAAGCCGACATCAAGAATGGAGCGACTCTGGGAGCAGCTGTTGCGGAGGCGGCGTTCAAGGCTCGTGTCAGATTGGTGGCATGCGGAAACTTTCAGCCGGATAGCGAGATTGAGGAGTCTGAGATTGCGTGTGAAAACTTGAGTCCCGAAACTTTACGATTGGTGTATGGAAGATTGGCTAATGAGGAAACCTGGGAAGGATTATCCTTGGACATATCAGCTGCCTTCTTAAACAGTTTGTTGCCGAAACATGAGAGAATTCTTCTTCGACCGCCAACAGTGCTTGTGAAACTGGGTTTGGTAGATCCAGATGTGCTGTTCTATGCCAACAAATCCATCTATGGTCTGCGACGGGGACCCCATGATTGGCAGAACGAGCGCACCGAGAAGCTTCACAAGGCTGAGGCGAAGGCAGATGAAACATGTTCGTATGGCACATTGCGACTTGAAGAGCTTGAGGAGTGCAAAGGGCTTTTTATTGTCAGGGACACCAATACTGAGAAAATCACGGGACTTCTGGCTATGTTTGTCGATGATGCTTTCATTTGCGGACCGAGAGAAGTGACCTTGAGGGTGAAGCGATTGATTGCGCAGACATGGAAATGCCAGGTACAAGGGTTTCTTTCACGAAGCTCAGATTCTGAGATTAAGGATGGCGACGAGGTCATCAAGAAAGTCGACGAGATCACATTCTTGGGAACACAGGTCACGCTTGAAAAGGATGGGGTGCATGTTTCCCAACGGAAGTGGCTGATCAGGGAACTTCATCGTCGAGGCTATGTACACCTTAAGGGGAGTGAATCTTTGCCGCAGATTGATGCTACACAGATTCCTTTGATGCCGAAGGATACGAAGGGCTTTGCAGATCACCTCAAGAAGGCTCAAGGGGAGATTGGATGCCTTCAGTGGTTGGGCTTGAAGACTCGTCCTGACATCCAGGCATGCGTTGGAATATTGGCATCGTTGCAGACTTGGAATCCTGAGTGGGTGTATAATGCTACAAAGGGCGTTTGGAGATACTTGAGAGCTACAGTGTGGTCAGAGATGATTCATCATGAAGGAGGATCCTTGGACATCTATGCGGAGTCCGATGCCAGCCTTGGGCCAGCAGGTTCTAGGTCTAGAACGGGGTTGGTTATTAGTGTAGGTCAGAACCTTGTTTTCTGGAAATCGTGTCGGCAGAATCTTACGGCGTATTCGACTTGTGAAGCTGAAACCGATGCATGCGCGACAGCTCTTTTCGAAGCCACTCGTATCGCAGGCTTAATCAAAGCCCTGACCGGACACAGGCCGCGGCTAGTGTTAGCTGGAGACAATGCGGCAGCGATTACTTCGATCACAAGGAATGACTTTAACCCTCTTACGTGGAGAACTCGGCATTACGCTATGAGGTGTGCTTGGGTCAGGGACATGATGCACCGCGGCTACCGCGACGCAGACTTGGCAGAGATTGAATGTTTGTGGAAAGCAGGGGATGATCTAGTGGCGGATGCACTTACCAAAGTCTTGCCAAGGGCCCGCTTAGAGAGACTTCGAAGGCGTTTGGGAGTCTTGACGAGTCGGATGGGCCACTGAGTTTTTCAAAGTTCTTTAGCGCCGAAGGAATAGTCCAGCGCTACCGTTCAATCATGTGACACTGGGGTTGAAAGTTCCAGCAGGCCGTTCCTCACGAACAGCTGGAAAGGAGGAGTGTTCTAGGAAACCCCAGATGTCCATGATGCTTTTATATGCTCACTGATGCCTTGGCTAGGCTGTTGAGCTACGTGTTTGAAGTATCTAATTAATATCTCTTGCGAACCAATTCTTTTATCTACTCTTTGAACACCGCACATGCATACATGACACACGTACGTGTTCGAGTGCTGTGCGGTAGGAGTAGGAAGATGGGCACTGGCCCGAAACAAGAACAGAAAGAAGACCTCGAAAAAAGAAAGCGGAAAGGCTACGGGGCAGCCATGTAAAGGTCTAGTGCAAGGGATTCTCACTTCTGTTCGCGTGCATGTTTTTGCAAACGACATATGCTTGTCTCGAAGGCGCCAAGCATGTCTCAAAGCCATTACACGACGAAACTGCGATGGCTCAAGAACGACAAAAGGCCACTGACTGTGAGAGGGGTTTTTGGAAGTTCGGGGTTTTTCAGAGCGTCCCTTCGGTGAACACCTTTCGTGAAGCTCTAATTCCCTTGGAAGCCAGAAGCACTGAAAGCCCGTCTGCATTAGATCACGACATTGCAGAGTTCCTTCAGTGCATCCGACAGAGAAGCACGACATTGCAGAGTTCCTTCAGTGCGCGGGCGCACTGACTGGCATTCAGGTTGTAGTGATTCTTTAGGTCGTTTGGTTTCCCTAGCGTTTTCCCGATCCCGGTTTAGGCGGACCTTATCGTACCCTAAAAGGCTCAAACGTTCAAGCTGTGAAGGCTGGTCGGCGACAACGGTCGCGATCAAAGAACTGAACTACTTAGTATTGCTATGGAGCTATCGCCTGTTCCTACGCATTATTCTGTAGTCACCGATGGAAGCCCATATCAACAACAGCTTCTATGTGTTGTTGGAAGCTCTTCAAGGACAGGCCGCCCTTCAACTGTGCGGTGTACAACTACGCAAAGAGGGCTTTCGGAGATCGCCGGCGGTGCAGAAGCTGGCAGAGCTGCTTCGATGAGGACGCTCATCCTGAGCAACCCTTCCAATTACTGCTACATGAACTCAGTGATGCGGAGCTTATTATGGACCATTGTGCAGGATCCTACGCTTGACGGCTCCTTCGGCAGTGCCGGGCTCACCTTTCTTAAGAAACTACTGCAACACAAACAACAACCCGTGTTCATTGCAGGTCAGCTGATGTTCAACTTCGCTCTTCGCGGATGGAGGTCACCGGCAATACAACACGATTGTGCAGAGTTCTTTTCTCACATCATTGACCGCTTGAGCATCACAGCATTTGAAGGTGAGTGCGGAAGCACGTACAACGGTTGCGGACTCTCCGGGACAGTTTCGATGTGAGTGCTCTGATGCTGGTCAGTGCACGGAGGCGATATCAATCGACCTACCCGAGGGGCGAGTGCATACTGCTCAGTATCTCCTACATTGCTGGCACACGCAAGCTCACCCGCATGCCTTGAAGGTCGCACCGGCTCTTTTGCTGCTGCGCTTTTCTCGATATGTGCAGGCGGGCCGAAGGATCAGAAAACGTGCTTGTAAGATTACTTGGCCACGGCAGCTTCACCTGCCGCTTTTCAGGGGGAACGATGATCTTACATCAGGCACGATCGCATACGATGTGCTGGCAGCTGTTTCACATCATGGTCCCACTCTGAGTGCGGGACATTATACAACTTTGCTCCATGCCGCAGGGGGCGACCTTCATTGCGATGACAATACCGTTCCAGAGTTCAGGGTTACGGTTAAGGCCCCAGATGACACTACCCCATACTCGTCCAGTACAGTTTATCTTTTGTTGTGCAGGCGCACAACGGAGTCCGGCCCTTTGATGGTCGTTCTTTTCTTCGTTTCGGGGAACCACAACTATGCCAGCACAGGTCACTCCTGGGGAGACGTGAGTGACGGTCAACCTGTTGTGGAATGTTTTCACAGGGATACCTGCTCTCAGTGCAAAATCAGTGGAGCTTGCTAATGCTTTCAGTGCGTCCGTGCAACAACGTGCCTCTTGATTCTACACGATGTACAGTTGGGCATGCCCGCCGGTGCACTCCAGTTCCAGCTTTCTTTTGTTTTGCGCCTGCATGAACATACAACTTATGCGTTCCTTCACGGTCCACACTACACTTTTTCATTATCGGATACTTGGGCATGCGCTGGTTTTCTACACATGTCGGGCACACATGATCCGGATGCTGCCATACATGCACCCTGGTTTGTGGAGGGACGCTTCGATGTGCATCTCTATTATCATGATTGGCCGGATCCCTACGAGCCCACTTCGCCGACGGTGATTGACTCCGATGTTCAGTCCAGCTCTTCTGCACGCACGGTGGAGTACATTCGGGATGACAATGTTGCTGATGGGCCACCCTTGCTGCGCTTATCATTCTATGTAGGTACCCCAAGTCTGCAACTGATCGAACCTGACCCAAGTCACACCGCGGAGTGTATGGCCAGGCACTTTCTACGTGTTGGCAGCTTCTTTGAGGATCAGCTATCATCGTTGTGGGACCTACTTCCGCATGACAGCCCACGTGGACATCAAACATTTCTCGACGGAGGCTCCACTGCTGCATTCTCGTTCACTACGGGTGCTTTTCAAGCTGGCGGACTGGTCGGCATACGCAGCAACGCGCTTCAGATGCCATGGGTCACTGCATTGCTTTGTCGTATTGTGCACTCTGTATTGCTTGGCGAGGGTGCTGAGGATCATCACTTCACTTGGCTTTCGCTTTTGAGGAATGTGCATTCTGGCATACATAGAGATGGCAACAATCATCCTTCCTGCAACAGCTTGCTTATCCCATTGAGCCGCTTCTCTGGTGGTGAATTATGGTGCTACAATGCTGCTTCAGGGGACGTTTGTTATCCTGGTACTGATTTGCCGGGGCTGGCTCATGCAGTGACTCCACCTTTTCTGGAGTTCGACTCACACGAGCTGCATGGTACTCTTCACTGGACTGGTATTCGTGTGGTACTCGCGGTGTATCACATGAAAACTCCGGAAGCCTTGAGTGACGGCGAGATGCAATTCCTACGGCAGGTGGGTTTTCAGCCGTTGCATTCCAGTGAGATGAGTGAGACCTCGATGCGGTAGAATGTGAGCCGTAACTCTAGTGTGCTGCGCTGGGTTGTAGTTCTGCTGTGCTTGACTTGTGAAACTCCAGGCTGATGCCTTTCCTAGTTTCGCGTAGGTGCCGTGTTTTGTACAGTAGTCGAGACTTGGTAATGTTACACGTTGCCTGGTCCCCTTTTCGTAGTGTCTCCTGTGGCCTTACTGAACTTGTGTGTCGTGCACACGAGTGCAATCTTTTACGCTTTCTGTAGTTTGCTGCATGTTCACATCGCTTTTGGGTGCTACACCGGGTGTGATCTGCTGTGTTGCTTTTGGTGCTTAGGCACGGACATGGCTGAGACCTTGAGTCTCCGGGCTGTAAGCCTGTTAGGCCTACTCTAGGCGACCTTCGGGACAGGACGCTGAGTGTGAAAAAAGCTTGGCTAACTAAGTCTCTCGGCCCGAGCACTTTTGCTGTGAGCACGGGTGGGGTAGCTGGTAGAGCGCATGGTTTTCAGCTGCTGTATTCCACGTCGACTTTTCCCTTTTGCTGCATTCCATTTTACATTGCCGATTTTCATGCTTGGATTTCTCTTCTGGATTTTCATGTCGAGCACTTCACATGGCGATTTTGGTATGCAGTCAAGCACAGTGGGCACAGCATACACTTTTGATCATGATCTGGCCGCCGCGGTCCCAAATCCGCGGGCTGCACATGTGAGGCCTAACATGGGCATTTCAGCTGGCAGCAGAGACGAGGGTTTGGAGCTTGTGCGCGGGGCTCCTGGGAGCGACAGGACATCGATGGTAAGAGTCGGCACTTCAGTCGCGAAACAATGTGCATCAGGCTTTAACAGTTTCACTTTATCATTTGCGAGAAAACGCTCCTACAAACGTGCCTTGAACAGGGCAGAGGCGAACGGCAGTGCTTGGTACAGAGGTCAGCTTGGCAACTCTTCGAAAGTCCTATGTGTCCAACAATGCAGCTGCAAAGACCGAAGCGCTGAACATCCCAGCCCAGCAGGTCCCAATGCAAAAGTGGATCCAGATTTTCATTGCGGGCTTTCTCCTGGAGTGGCGGGCTCAACAACCTTAAGGATGAGCTACACACACGGCTTCAGGAGCACGGCAGTGATTGCAGCATTGTTCTACTGCAAGAGACTTGGTATCGTTCGGACATGGATTTTCTTGACTGTGTTTTGCATATTTTAGGGGTGCCGGGCCCACCGGCTGGGCCAGGGCACGGCCCGTAAAATATGCAAAACACAGTGTGTTTTGCACATTTTTTGCGTATTTTTGGCGTGCCGGGCCCACCGGCTGGGCCAGGCACGGCCCGTAAAATATGCAAACAGTGTGTTTTGCACATTTTTTGCGTATTTTTGGCGTGCCGGGCAGGTCCTGCCAAGGCCCCAGCACCCAAAGGCCCCAAGGCCCAAAGGCACCAAGGTTCAGAACCGTGTGATGCAAAAATGCAAAAAATATGCAAAAAATATGCAAAAAATATGGAATAAATTTGTAAAAGATTTGCAACACAAAAAAAACATGCAAAATATATGCAAACCCGACGTGCAAAAAATATGCAATCAATTTGCAAAATATCCGCAAAATAATTATTTTCAGTTTCATAGGCTGTAGCCTGCTAATAATCTCATGAACCAAGAGTGCAGCCGCCAGCTTGGACAGCAGATGCACACACCAACTTGATTCAGCAGATGTGGTCACATTATGGGTTGATGAAGCGTAGGCGGTGTCTCCCTGGCACGCGGGCCATCTTGCAGGCCTTGGCGTCATCAAGTGGCATTCCTACGATTACACAGGGCGGTTCAGAAACACAGCCGGCAGTCCGACGAACACATTTTGATCAACTGCTGGGCAGCCAAGCGCTGTGATCAGGTCGACGGGGCATCGACCACTTTTACTTTGATCAAAAAGTGGGCTCCCAAGCAGGCCAAGAAACGAACCCAGCTGAGATCCCCCAACGGCCGACTTTTTGTGCCCGGCTGAGGAAGTCAAGGAACTGGCGACATTTTGGAAGGAGATCTGTGCGGGCAGTGATGGGCAGGCTCCACCCAGCCACCAACCACGGCATGCCTACCATGTGTCACGAGAGGAATTACTTCATGCTCTGCAGTCGCTGAAGGGTAACAAGGCGGCGCCGGCTCATTGTGCACCACATGCGCTGTGGCAGATTGCGGCAGGTCCTGTTCTTGGATGTTCAGGTTCTCAGCAAATGGCGGGATGAAGAAGCCGAGGTCTTTGAGGATTGGTCGGCGTCCTGGCTCACCTTCTTGAACAAAGCCAACAAGCCGGGCAATAAGCCCGGAGATCTCAGGCCGATTTCCTTGTTGGAGCCAGCGGGGAAGGCCATGAGCGGCATCATTAAACAACATTTGATGCCTTTCCTGCAGCCTTGGATTGAGGACAGACATCTTTTTGGGTACTTGCCCAATCGATCGCCGCAACAGGCACTGAGCATTGTGTTTCGGCATTGTGCCGATGCCCGTGCTCGGGCGAAAGCACAGGGTCGAGATTTGTATGCGATCCGTCAGGGACATCGACGAGGGGGATGCGCGGGGGGCTTGCAGGTGAGCATCGATTTCACACAAGCGTTCGATAGGGCCAACCGCGCTCTGCTCAACTCAGCCCTTCTAGTTCTGAAGGTCCCGGACAACCGGCGGTGCTTGATTATGCAGTGGGTAGAGACTACCACATTCCATGTTGTGCAGGACGATGCTGAAGCCAAGTTTTCCTCCAGTCGAGGAATAAGACAGGGATGTCGATTATCACCATCGCTCTGGGTGTGCATCTCGGTGTACTTGCTGCATTTGCTTGAGCAGGAGATGGGATCCCAATGGTGCAACGATCATCTGGTGGGCTTTGCTGATGATACTCATCTTCGTTGGGATATCCATGATGTGGTGCAACTACATCAGGCTCTAGCACAAGCACACCGGGCATTACAGCTCCTGGAAAAGGCGGGTCTCAAACTTAGTCGGGACAAGACGGTTTGTCTGCTACGGGTTGAAGGTGTTCAAACTCCACACATTAAACGACAGCTCATCGACAAGACCAAAGACGGCCGAGTCCTCAAAATCAGCCCCGACTACATCCTGCCACTCAAACAGGATCACATTTACTTAGGCGCTTGCATCACATATGGGGACTTTGAGCACAAGAACATGCAACACCGAGTTCATGCAGGCAAAGTGGCATTCCAGCGGGTTCGCAAATTTTTTATGGCAGACAAGGCAGCCAGCATGCAGAAGAGGCTACGACTATGGAAGGC